CTGCTGCACTCTAGCCTTGAATTTTGACGTTTCCTTTACCGAGCTATAGTTTTTACCTGTTTTCAGAATATTAGTTTGTGTTTGTCAGTGTTTTTGTTTGGTTAACTAATAGATTGGATAATTTCGGAATATCTAATTATGTCTGTCTGAGTTTACTTATCTATTTACAGCTAGAAATTATGCATCTCTTGAACGTTTCACAAGTTGAAAAATGCTTCAAGTTAGCTGCTCCATCTATATAACAAATTTTATAATTTGTCTCTAATTCTCTGGGATTCTGTTAGAATGTTATAATAGCATTTCTTGTTAATAACCCAAAGTGGTCCATTCCAGTGGTTGATGAATAATATAACCTGACCAAACAGATTGATTTTGAAATTTTCAAATAGACCAGTAGAAGGTAAATGGTAAAAGACGAGAACTGTCTATCTAAATTTGTGATTTTTGGTACAGTCCAGTTATCTTCCTCTTATAAGAGGGCATTCAGCCAATCTTTTAATTCTTCTTTCTTCTCAATCCTTATATTCCTCATGTATTCATAGTATAGATAGTGAGGTATACAATTGTGCACTAAACGAATGACAATATCTTTAGGTAAATAGTTTTAAGAACAATTTTAGTCATTCCTTTAAGTTTGGTGTACGGTTAACACTTTAGAATCCCATCCAATACATATAATCCGACCAAATATTACTTTTGGCTACAAAGATTTACAGATAGTCTTTGGCAACCCGACCCGACCCGATCGACACTTGATTGGGTTGGGATATTTACACGGGTTGGGTTGGTTTGGGTTTGAGTTGGGGTAAAATCCAACCCAACCCACGCCACGCCCACCCCTACTTATTTATACTAAACCTCTCGGAAGTCGGAAGCAATATAAATTTGAAACACTTTTAATGGTGATCAAACATCATAACGAAGTAAGTGAATAACAAACCATTAACCCGAAAAACAAGTGTAAACTCGACCATCTATGTCTCACTAAAGTTCTATAGTTCTCATATGTTTTTCATATAACATGTTTGGTAAGATGGATTAATAGTATTGAAAGAAACTAAAATCTTGTAGATTGCCCTGTCGGTGCAATTTAATATTGTATGCCAAACATGCACAAGAACAAGATGGGCACCTGATGAGACCATTCTCATTGATATAATTTGACATTCTCCAATGAAGTCTCGTGGATATAGTTAGGATTTCTGAGTACAGATGATTGTAATGTGTGAAGTTTTGATAGTAGAAGTTACAAAATAAAGAATCATTGCTAAAACGTAGCCATTTGCAATGTGCTCTTCACAAGAAGACAGATTATCAGTTTTTGCATCGCTCTATCTAACCAGAAAAAGGGAGAGGCGAGCTTTTCAGTGAAATTTTCATGGTTTGGTGTGTTTAATGTGTGTTTTGTGTTTATATGTTTGGTGAATTTCTTTCCTTTTCCAATCTTGTTTTATCATAGGTTTGGTTTGTAATTACAGAAGTCAAAAATTTGACTTGTAACTAACAGTATACATAAGAATGCAGAATAAAATCCTTTCAGGGGTGTGGTGTATAAAGATTGCCTGTCATTTAATTCATCTTATACTCTATTTTTCTCAGAACTTTTGTGCAAGTTCTGTATTATGATTTTTCTACATCACGTTCCTTCTATAGTCGAGCCTATCAAACATTCCATAATAGCCTAGATATACATAAGCTAGTTCTATTGCATGAAGGAAACAAAATGAATGGAGAAAATTTTTGTTTCATAATCTCGTAATTGTATTACAACATTTGTCCTGTATTCAAAATAAGGCATAGATTTTTGAGTTCTACAATCAATAAAATTTCAGTCAAAACCATCCACAATCAAGAGAGTAATAAAAATTGCGTAAGTTCTTGGTTGTCAAAGAGCTTAATGGATTGTGCCATAAATTTATAGCATTCTCCATAGCCATTTTTGGCACTTACCTTAAACTGCTAGATCACTCGACTGCTCTAAGTAGACCGTAGAGAAACAACATTTTAACCATGGGTAATTTTTTGGGTGCATAAGAAATTCCACAAGGAAATTTTTTTAAATCCCGTTAGTATTTCCTAGTTCAATAGGCCTAACTATTTATGCTTCTTTTTCTGCTCTAGAGATGACATTGTATTTAGTGGTCTCTTCTTGGCAAATGCTTTTGTTTTACTTTCCAACTCGTCTTCACTATCTTCATCAACATTTTCATCTTTTGAAGATGGCGCAAATTCTTCAGCTCTCTTCACGGCTTTCCTTTTCTCAGCATCCAACTTGGCAAGTAATTTTCTTTCGATTGGATTGCTTGAATTTGCATCTCCGTGCCCCCGTGGAACTGTTGCACCAATTCCAAGCCTACAAAAGTCTCTAAGAAAATAAACATATGCTTATAATTATACAGTGGAAACTCAGTGTTGCAAATGTACGGACCTAGTAGTTCGACCCTCTAATTCTGTTGTGGTTGATTTTCCATCCACCGAGTCCTGTTTAAATCTGTTTTAATTGCAATTTGTAAACCTAGGTTGAATTGTGTAATTGTTTTGTCATTTATGAATGTTTTTCCCTCGTAAAAAAATTACTCTTATAATTAACTAATTATTTGTGTTTAAGTCATTTTCCACTAATTTTGGACATGTACATGTGTTTGATTACATCATGTCATTCACTTTTCTAAATTTTATCTCACCCTAAAATCTACATCCAGCTCTTTCCCTGGAAGTCCTAGCTTTTCTCAATTGGATCTGTGTTAAATTTTATCGAACAATCTTTAGCGTTTTGAATACTCCCATTCTTTGTTCTTCAATGTGTTGTGTTTTTAGTTCCATCTCTTATTTCGTCTTTCTTGCAATATTAGCAGTTTTCCACTTTGATATTTTTTTTGGGCATGTTAGAATAGCTATGATATTTGTAGGAAGAATGCATGTTTATAATAGGTTTGCTACTTTGTGTATGGTTTCACTTTTCTTTTTACGCTTCTTGGATTTGTTGAAATTTGTAATATTCTTTTTATGACTAATGTGACTGCCCTATATACTGTAAATACAGTTGAAGCATGTTCTGAGATATAAAGAATCATATTTTACCCTGGCATGCTATAACCAAAATGAGGCGTGGCATTCTTATTTTATGTTCAAGCACAGTGATTGATTTTAAGCTTTTGTATGATAATTTCCAATACAGCTTTCTTTGCTAATCAGGTGGTGAAGAAATAGCAATGAGTACAGAAGAGGCTTCAACGAAAAATTCACAACCCCAATTAGTGAAGTTGGGCAAAGCATTAAAACTGGTATCTAGCTTACTTTTTGTAATTTGTTTACTCATGTTTAGATTTATATTATGATGTTGATTCCTTCGTGATCTTAAAATAAATTGATTTGTCATTAAAATAGCTCATTATTATAAACTTTTTTTTCTCTGTTGTTTTTCTTTTACTTTTCTATCTTAATATTGTGATCCAAATATGGGAAATGTGCTTGGCATCACAATTTTCTTTCGTATGATCCGAGTAGTAAATATTAGAAGGTTGTTTCATGTATACTCCTTCGCACAGGCTGAACAATGGGTTAATAGCATGAGTAAATTCTCGGTGGATGGAAAATCAACCGCAATAGAATTAGAGGGTCGACCTGCTAGGTCAGTACATTTGCAACATTGAGTTTCCACTTTATAATTATAAGCATATGTTTATTTTCGTAGAGACTTTTGTAGGCTTGGAATTGGTGCAATAGTTCCACGGGGGCACAGAGTTGCAAATTCAAGCGATCCAGTCGAAAGAAAATTACTTGCCAAGTTGGATGCTGAGAAAAGGAAAGCCGTGAAAAGAGCTGAAGAATTTGCGCCATCTTCAAAAGATGGAAATGTTGATGAAGATAGTGAAGACGAGTTAGAAAGTAAAACAAAAGCTTTTGCCAAGAAGAGACAATTGAATACAATGTCATCTCTACAGCAGAAAAAGAAGCATAAATAGTTAGTCTTACTGAACTGGGAAATACTAACGGGGTTTAAAAAATTACCTTGTGGAATTTCTTATGCATCCAAAAAATTACCTGTGGTTAAAATGTTGTTTCTCTACGGTCTACTTAGAGCAGTCGAGTGATCTAGCAGTTTAAGGTAATTGTGGAGAATGCTATAAATTTATAGCACAGTCCATTAAGTTATTTGACAACCAAAAACTTTTGCAATTTTTATTACTCTCTTAATTGTAGATGGTTTTGGCTGAAATTTTATTGATTGTAGAACTCCAGAATCTATGCTTTATTTTGAATATAGGACAAATGTTGTATTACAATTACGAGATTATGAAACAAAAATTTTCTCCATTCATTTTGTTTCCCTCATGCAATAGAACTTAGCTTATGTATATATAGGCTATTAGGGAATGTTTGATAGGCTCGACTGTAGAAGGAACGTGATGTAGAGAAATCATAATACAGAACTTTTGTACAGAACATGCACAGAAGTTCTGAGAAAAATAGAGTATGAGATGGGTTAAATGACAGGCAATCTTTATACACCACACCCCTGAAAGGATTTTATTCTGCATTCTTATATATAATGTCAGTTACAAGTCAAATTTCTTGACTTCTGTAATTACAAACCAAATCTATGATAAAACAACATTTGAAAACGAAAGAAATTCACCAATCATATGAACACAAAACACACATTAAACACACCAAAAACCCTGAAAATTTGACACTGAGAAGCTTGTCTCTCCCTTTTTCTGGTTAGATACAGCGATGGAAAAATTGACGATCTTACATTGCAAATGGCTACGTTTTAGCCATGATTCTTTATTTTGTAACTTCTGCTATCGAATCTTCACACACTACAATCATCTGTGCTCAGAAATTCTAATTATATCCATGAGACTTCATTGGAGAATGTCAAATTATATCATCTAATTCTTTAACCAAAGCTTTGAGTGCATGTTTGGCATGCAATATTACCAAACATGTCATATGAGAACTATAGAACTTTCGTGAGACATAGATGGTTGAGTTTACAAGTCAATATCTTCAATTGCCTCATATTCGACTAGAAGCACCGTGAACTCATATTCTGAAGTATCAGTTGCAAAACTCAACACAGTGTCCTCGATCAATTCACTGAAAATTCTCTCTCCTAATTCAGTACCAATATGCACGATATTTGATCCGAGGTACATCCATTTTTCATGTTTTGCCATGTCCCTCTTGATAAACGGATCCAGAGACTCTGACGATGGATGCTGGAAAACATATTTCCGCCAAAATCAAGAGAACAAAATCCTCAAAAAGCTAGAAAACTGGCGCGTGAAGGTAGCTGGTGGAAAACAAATTGCTGGCAAAAGTTTGGCTATCAAACAGCCATAAAGTTGGAAAATGGAATTTATTTTCCAACTTCCCTAGAAAACTATGCACATCAAACATCAAAATCCTCAAAAAGCTAGAAAACTGGCGCGTGAAGGTAGCTGGTGGAAAACAAATTGCTGGCAAAAGTTTGGCTATCAAACAGCCATAAAGTTGGAAAATGGAATTTATTTTCTAACTTCCCTAGAAAACTATGCACATCAAACACAGCCTTAGAGCAAATAGGAAGCAGGAATAGAAAATATTTTGAATTCAAAATATCTGACTCTCTAAGTGTGGATATTAATTCTCATTGTTCAACGAGCTCATTAAAAGTTTAAGCAGTTAGAGATGGGACACTTTTTTTTATTTAAATCCCGTCTTCAATAATTTTTCATCAAAAGCCTCATGCGCGCACAACTTTTGTAAATGAGTGGTGACATGACTTGAACCTAGTATTTTTGTTGCCTTGTAGTAACTAAGTCAGATTATGTTAAAGGAAGCAAAGGTATGAGGTTAAAGTATCACCCACTCGATTATAATAATTGTGCAAACTCCAGATTTTTGATAAAAAAAAAAAGGTTGAATTCACCCTACATGGGCAGGTTCAGGACAAAATTTAAATAAATTAATTTGTACTCCATCTAACAACTTAAGTTCTTAGATAAGGTGGTTCAACACTCCTAATATTACTTCTAGATAGAGTTCTTACCAACAGCTTGCCTGCTCCCTCGCCTTCTATTGGCAATCAATTTTCGGATGGATCGACCATGGCGGAAGTCCAATATGCTAATAAAGCTCCATATACAACCTGCTTGCTCCTTTTCATGCCGTGACAGGCGCCTCTGTGATCTCTTTGCCATAACGAGTGATTTTAGGGCCTCAAATCTTTCAACGTCAGCTAATTTTCCTTCCTCTTACTGCAAATCTAAGCACAGAAAGAAAGAATGAAACTAAAAATTACCGATTTTTAATTGAAAAGCTCGATATACCGGGTCAATATCCACAATTACAAGCACACATTGTTTCTGATGTGTTAAAATACAAGCTCATTCTTAAAGGTACAACCTGCTTAGCCAAAACATCCTACAATTTGATCTAAATGTGATAAGGAATACCTTGGGAATTTTTTCTTTGATAATCATGACGAATTAAACATGAAAATATTTTGCAAGTGAATTTATGTTGTCAACCTACATTAGAATTCTTGGGCATCTTATCTGATGATCATGATGCATTTGAGGAAAAACTATTTCCCCAACAAAGATATATACCTGGAGTTTGATATTCTGATTTATACAAGCCACATGAGGCCCGGTGCATCCTTTCCCAATCTCTCGTAGTCAGAAAAGGTTCTCTAAATGCTCTATCACCCACAAAATCTACTTCTACAATCACCATAAATCTGCAATGCCGTTACTCATAGCAATCACATAAAGTATCTTTTTCTTGCATGCACTAACTTTAGGCAATTTGATTATGAAAATTCTGGACTGGAGAGAAAAACATATAAAGGGAAGAAAGAGAGATGATATTCTACAGCACCGCAAAAATTCAGTAGATACAACAACAAAAACTTCCCAACAAATTCATAGTTGGCTACATCAATCTTTTTCGTCACTGCATTCAGTACATTGCTAGCTCTACTCGAAGATCCAAAGCAATCGAAATTTTACAAAATCACAGGAAGATTTCAAAAGCTTGGTAAAAAAACATGTGAAAGAAATGAATGGTTTAAGAAAAGAAAAACTTAAAAATCACATTTTACTTCAATATTGACAAAGTTTTAAATGGAAACAATATGCAAAACAGAAGAATTACCAGAAATTGGATCCACCACGTAGCCACACATACTTCAAGAAAAACAGATAACACGAGTTATCTAAGACAGTAAAGCTCAAGGAACTTTTGCCTTCTGTGTCTGGCAAAGAATCATGATTTTGCCTTCTTAACTTTTTTTTTTTTTTTTTGAAAAGTGCTTTTGGCAATCCCAAAATGATCTTCCTCTCAAAGAAACCAATTACCAGAATTTCCACTCAACATAAAAAAAGCCAAAAATTATAATCTTGGGCCTATTACTTCCTTAGAAGACTTGATCAAAATCTTCAAAGTCATCCACTCTTGCATTCAAGGACAATAAGATCACATAACAAAACTCTTCACACAATAAAGCTTAAAATTCAGTTCACATTTATTATTTTGATGAAAAATTCAAGTTTTTCACTGTAATGATTCTTCATCAAATTCTGACCAAAGAAACGAACAAATTCAAGAGATGCCCACAAGGTATTTTGTAAAAAATCGACCTTTCTTTACATTAAAAACTCAAGAAATTCAATCAGGTATTGACAGACACTCAACACACATAAAGGTCAAAACTAGAGCGTTACTGTTTGGGTGAGAGAGTATCTAATTCCATACCGACCAAAAAGAAAGACCTCAGTGACGAAAACCAAAAGCCACTTGTTAAATGGAGGAAAATGAGGTGTGGGGCAGCCATTAAAGACTGCAACACAGAGATATAAAAGTAAAGAAAGGTTGTAAAGTGAAAAAAACGCGTGTGTGAGAGAGAAGGGTTCTGGGAGAGAGAGAGAAGAATAATATACCTGCGTGTGCAAAGGTGGGAAGAGATGGAAAAAAGCTTCCGACTGTAGAAAATTGTTGGAGGTTTCCTATTTTTCTTTGCAGCACCACATCAGTATCCCCACCATCATTCCAGGCTAACTTTCAAATTTCGAATCAGGTCTGAAAATTTCATGTTGGATCCTATTATCCCCTCCGACTGACCTCGCTCTCACGCACACGCGTATAGAGTCTATTTAGGGGCAGAGTACCGAGTCCAGACAGAGACGTATGAACATTTAGATGCATATACGCAATTGTTACAAGAATAAAGTCACTTGTAAATCATTTTTGTACATTATAATGTACATCATTCTTGTTGACAAAACGTAATTGATGAAAAATCTATTTTTTTTTTCAAACCGTCAAATGACTATTATTCACACCAAGTAGGACGTTGTTAGAGAGAGAGAAGACATGAATGATGCAAAAATTTGACTAAATAATTGGTTTGGTTGTAAGACAGACTACTGTTTTAAGGTTGTAATGAAAGAAAATTAGTCAAATTTAACGTCAATAATTCTAGTTTTTATATTGAATTTTTTTTTGTATACCCATGAAAAGGGAGAAATTTATTTAGATGTTATTTCACATATGTAAATTTGAGTGAAGAAATTCTCAAAGTATGTTTGGCATGACTTATAAGTATTGTGAGCATGCTAACCATTACGAGAAGTTGAAAAATGACCCATTTTAACTATTTCAAAATGAATTTGATTTGACGTGAATTAAGATTAAAGTAACTTTAACATCTTCTTATGCATGTAAGAGAGACTCGAGAAGAATGATTGTGAATTTTTATAATATATCTCTCCTTTTAAGTAGAGAATATAAAATTTGTTAACCATCGTAGCTAAGAGAGATAAGTACATCAAACATAGTTTTTTATTATTTTAATATCACTCATTGACAAGGATAATTTCAAGAAGTCAATTGTATTTCAACTGATGAAATGGCCCGTTATTACAAAAAAATAAAA